CTAATAACCAGCTCTTTCATCCCATCCTCAAAGCTTTGGGACCCTAGAACTTTCAAGAGTCTCAGAGACCATTAAACTCTTTCTCTCTCACAACATGGCAGGTCTGGCTCAAAGTGGGGCAGGGCTTCCCCTGGCCATCCAGCAGAGGACAGCTCAAACACAAGTGTTTCTTCATAAGTCCAGGTCAGAGGCAATGTTCCCTGAGTGGCCACAGGAACTTGGGAGAGGGTTCAGTGAGCTCAGAGGTTAAGTTTCATGGATTTGACAGAGTAGACAGAGACTACAAGACAGAGTTGTTGTTGTTATGTGACATCAAGTCAACTGTGACTCACAGCAACTCTATGAACACCAGATCTGAACTTTGCGCCATCCTCACCATCTCTGATGTGTAGTCACCATGTCAATCCATCTTGTGGAGGATATTCCTCTCTTATGCTGACCCTCCACCTCTCCAAGCCTGATGTCCTTCTCCAAGAACTGGTTCCTCCTAACAGCATCCTTGCCTCCAAGGAGCATCACGGTTCCACTTTCTCTAAGACTGAGCTGTTTGTTCTCTTGGAAGTCCATGGGATATTCAGTATTTTTCTCCAACCCCACAACTCCAAGGCATCGATTTTTCTATCATCATCTTTAGACACTGTCCAACTTTCAGATATATAGCAAGTACCTGAAAAGATTATGGCTTGGCTTGGACCAGGGAGCTCTGATGACCTAGTGGCAAGAAGCTGTGGTGCAATCTCAAAGGCATGAGGTTCAAGACCACCAGCTGCTCCGAGGGAGGATGGGCAATCTCCTCCTGTGCAATTAAATGCCTCTCAAAACCTGCCAGAGAGGAAGCTATGGGTGGGTTCTGACTCAATGGTACACAACAACAACAATGACGATGACTTGGATCAAGCACACCTTAGTCTTTAAACTGACATACTTGCTGTTTAATACTCTGGAGGGATCCCTGGCAGCAGATTTCCCAATGTGATTCTTTTTTTAATTTCTTAACTGATAGTAGCAAGGGTCTTTTTTTTTTTTAATTTATTTTTTGTTATTTGTGTGTGTACCATCAAATCAGACCTGACTGGTACAGGAGGAGATTGTTCCTCCTTCTCCAGCAGAGCATCTGGTGGATTTGAACTGCGTACCTCTGGGATTGCAGTGCAGCTTCTTGCCACTAAGCCACCAGAGCTCACCAGTAACAAGGGTTTTGATTGTGTATTTTAAGATGAAATCCTTGACAACTCATCTTTTCCCCATCTACGATAATGTTGTCTATTGGCCTATTGGTAAGGATGTTTGTTTTCTTGATGTTGAGATGCAAACCATATTGAATGCTTTGATCTTAGGCGGCAAGCAGGTCATCCTCACCTTCAATGAGCAAAGTTGTGTCATCTGCATAATGCAGGTTGTTGATAAGTCATTCTCTGATCCTGATAACACATTCTTCTTCAAAAGCCCACCTTCTTGAATGATTTGCTCAGCAGTTTCAGAATCAGAACCATCCCCACTTCTATCCACTAGATGACCCTTACCTCCTGACTCCCACTGACCAAGAGAAATTATCTGAAGAGACAGATGCTGCTCCTGGTCCTAAAGCTTGTCCAGTCCAAGCCTCTACAGTGATTAAGCCCGTCTATAGTCAGAAACAAGGAAGCCTGAGGAGGCACTAATGACTAAGCATGGGACTACTAACCTGAAGGCTGGTGATTCCAACCCATGCCTCCCTCCAAGAGGAGCCTCGGAAGAAAGGCCTGGCAGTCTACTCTGAAAGGAAAGCTACTATTTGAAAATCCTGTGAAGCACATTTCTATTCTGAGACACAAGCTGGAACTGATTCAGCAGCAACTAGTTCTTGTAGGGTTAGAAACCCATCCAACATTACACTCTTTTGTTTGGAAAGAGTGTGCCTTTAGAGGCAGACTCTGCCACGCTGTAAACATCCATTCCACGTGGACCGGGACCTTTTACCTGATTTGTCTCCCAGGTATCCTCAACACCTTGAACAGTACCTGGCACTGTATAGTACATAAAACATGCTTTTCAAATGAATAAAGGTGAGTGACCTTGAGTCACCCTATGGGCCTGTTTTTCTTACCAGTAAAGGATGCTAACTGTCTGTCTACCTCACAGTTTGTTGTGAAGACAAAGGAAGACTTTCATGAAAATGTCTGGCATATTGCAAATAGCCTCCACGTTACTGCTCTTTCTCTTCAAAGCAGCCGGGACCCTGTCCTTTTCCACTGTGCTCACCTCTTCCAGAAAGTCTCCCCTGGTTATCTACCAGGCTCCATTCCTGGCAATTGTCCCAGAAACACTTCCTCCCCACAAACTTGTCCAGAAGCCAGTTGATATTTCTGGAAAATATGGATTCCTGTTTTGTTTTGTTTTTACTTTTTCTTATGCCTGAGTCCTCCCATCAAACAAAGGTTAAGATTCTACTTTCTGTGGCTCCCCTTAAATCATCATTGTCACAGGTCTGTTGTGTGATATAAGCTGTTTACTAAACACTGACCAGGATCTGAATTAATGCCTAAGTCCCCAATAAAACAGCAGAAGCCTGCTTCCACCTGAACCATGCTCCACAGTTCACAAAGCCCTTGCATGTTTGTTATCTAATTCTTCGATCCTTGAAACATCCCGGAAAGCAAGGTTATATTACCCCTATTTTACAGATAAGGAAACTGAGGTTTAGATAAGGTTAATAATCTGCCTGTGTCACATGGCTTGAAAGGAACAGACAAAGGTAGTCAGGCTGTTCTGGCCCAATTTTTCTCCATCAGGAACCTTAGAGAACAGGTGAGTACTCATAAACACAATAATGGTAACTACCTGCCTATCCATGGTGACTTCACTTTCATATAATTTTTACGTCTTGGAGACAAAATGTCACAGACCTAGAAGGCAGTGTCCAAGCGGAGGGTCCACCTTATGCATCAGAATTAAGCCCTCAGAAGTAGAGGTGACTTCTCTAATCGCTAACCCAGGATTTAAACTTCCATTTGCTGTGCTCTCTACCCACTTCTATCAAGTTCCCTCATTTTCCTCTCATCCTTTATTTTTCCATCTGTACAGTGGACTAGGGAGTAAAACCTTTCAGCCTTACCTTTTACTCTAAGCCCTTGACAGAGTCATAAAAAAAGTGCCAGTTTTTGGAGACATGATCTGGGCTTAAAATCTTAGTGTGGTCAATGATCTCCTAAGAACATTCTATCTATTCCCCCACTTCCACCTTCCCTAGTCTTCCTCCTGAATATATTCTCCCCAGAAAGAGTTAAGCCTTCTTCAGACTTTCTTTCACTCCTGGCCAGCGGTGCCAGTGGAGATTAGGGAGATCGGATTTATTTCTCTTAATAAACAGAAAAGAAGTTGGGTTGGGCGGGTGACAAGGAAACAATTGGAATAATGGGAGGCTGGAGCAAAAGGGAGCAGGACCTTCCTCTAGTCATACCCTGGGCCTTGTTCAGACCCGGGGAAACAAAAGGCAAGGGCAGGGAGGTGTTGCCCACACACGTGGGCTCAAATCAGGCCGGCCTGCTGCCCAGAAAGCCCAGTGCCACCCGATACTAGGCACTGGGTCGTTGGGGAGGCCAGGCCACTAACCCAATGACCCCAAATCCAGGCTGCTAGAGCAGGGGCCGTAAGAGTGAACTATCCCAGCCCCCTGGTTCCAATCTGTTCTCTTCAGGTAAGAGGGTCCCCCACTGCCCTGGAGTCCTCCACTAACCCTCTGCCTAGGACCATACTCCGTCCTGCTACAATTCTGAATGGAACCCTCTTGAGTGGGGTGGTGATGATTTCAGACTGCAAAGCAATCTGAGCTAGACTCCACATGCTGTGGAGCCTACAGAACCCCTGAATCAAAGCCCACTCTAGGCCTGGCCCAAGCGCTCTAAATCTAGCACCCTGACTTCTATTTATGTCTGAGCTGCAGGGGAGCAGAGACCTTTTCCAAAAAGCAAGACTAGACCGGATGCTATCACACAAGAGGCTTTTTCACCCTCTCTGTGACCCCTTAAAGAGTTCCTTCTAATTCTCCAGAGAAGGTGGTGAAAGGACACCCACGGAGGGTAAACATGGGCGTCATGGGATGGGCCCTGCAAACAACCATTTCCTCCCAGGTCCCAGGGACTGCTGGGGACATCAAGCCCAAGGGGGCTCCACCCTCTTGCTGAGCTTCATTCCCTCTCCCCTACAATGGAAGGCAGGGAACAAAGGGGGAAATGAGAGAAAAACCAAGCAAGTGGCCCAAAGAAAAGTGGTCTTGGCAGGGACAGGCCAAATAAGCCCCAGGCTACCCAGCCAGGCCAGGGGGGCTGCCAGAGGCCCCTACTTAAGATCTCACCTCAGATCAGGCACAGTCTCCCTCAGTTTCCCCCACCTGTAATCATACATCCAACACTGGCATTTTTTTTTGTGGATTCTTCCAGGCTAGCGGATGGAGTGACCAACGGGAGGGGAGTGGTTGATTTGGCTACTGAACTTCCCACCCCAAGAGATGGCTGCTTGGCCCAGGTGAGTGGTGAGAGGGGGCCAGGTAGGAAAGGCTAATGTTGGGAGCCTGTGACATTCTGTGCTTCGGTGTTGAGTTCCTCGTGGAGCTGAAACCCCTTCTGAGTGCAGCTGATTTTCCGGACCCAGAGACCCCAAAAGCCAAGGCCACCTGCCTCTCCCGTTGGCCATGAGACCCTGACTCAGCAGAGGGCAGGACTAGGGGTAAAGCTGGGGGCGGGGATTACCTCACTGCCCACCAGCCAAATTGCCAGTACTTCCTGCTTTAATAAAGGGACCTCTGCGTAGGCAGGGGTCCACTCGGCGGCGCAAGACTGGGTTTGGTGAGTTCCAGGGCAACATCGCAGGGCAGGGGTGCTTGGGTAGATGCAGTGGCTCATCGCTTCGCCAGCAAGAGCAGCTGGGCAATCGCCTCCCCAACACGCCCCAGACCCTGGTTGAGCCATTCCGACCGCACCCTCGGCGCCGCCAGACGCTCAGCCCAGGTGCTGCCACCTTACCTCGGCCTTTGCCCTTGGTCTTCCTGGCCTTATCGTCCGCCTTCTTACCCCGGGGGGCAGCTTGCTCGGCGCCCTCGGCCCCTGCTGTCTTTTTCTTGCGCCGCTTGCCCCGCAGCCAGCTGAAGGCGCGGCGGAGGCCA